GGAGTTGGAGGTTGCTGTGAGCTGTAATGCCACAGCACTCTACCCAGGGGGACAGCTTGAGGCTCTGTCTCAAAAAAAAAAAAAAAAAAAAATCAGTAACAAAAATGTCAATGTTTTTTGGAAATCAAAATCTCATATCTAAATAACTCAGGAATTAGAGAAAAAGTCAAAGCAGACATTAGAAAACATTTAGAAGTAAACTATAGTGCAAATGCTGCATATAAAAACTTGTGACACGGTGCTAAAGCGTTCTTAGAGAAAAATTCAAAACCTTAATGCTTATACTATAAAAGAAAATGATTGAATAGTGATGAGATAAACACTGAATTTAGGAAGAAAAATGAGAACAAAAGAAACTGCCCCCCCAACAAAAAATAACAAAATCAGAAGGAGAAATTAATGATAAAGAAAACAAAGATATCGGAAGACCAGACCGACAAAGTCAAACGATTTTTCTAACAAGCTTATCCCAGACCTAAAGACCACCTATCACTGACCACAAGAAGCTGTACATGTGATTCCACAGCCCCTCTTCACTAGTCCCAAATAAATGCATCACTCACCCCACAGAAACCTTGGCCACCCACCCAGTAAAGCTCATCCCACACCTCACAAACCTCCCCTATTCACCCTGCAGACCCAAATTACCCCATGGACTCCTCAACCTTCATCCTAGAGACCCTGCATCATTAACCCACAGACCCCCCTCCCCAAGACCCTGTGGGCCCCATCACATTCCAGCGTCCCCATTACTTTCCCCACCGACCCCATCACTCACCCACAAATCCATCACTCACTCTCCGCACTTCCCTGTAAGTGGCCACGGAGAAGCCCCATCAACTCACCCTACTGAGCACCACCACTGAGTACAAAATCGCTGTCATAACACTCCCATAATTTACTTCTGTATTTACCTGGCCTGGTCCTAAATCCGTCTTAAGTTAAACTTCCCGAGCTTTAAGTCCTGCAACCTTCTCTGGAGACCCTGGCGCGTCTGGACTAGATGAGCACATGCCCAGCGTCAGCAGGAAGCGCCGCTCGCCCGCGAGGGATCCCGGGGCGCGTACACCGTGTCGGTGCGTGCGTGTGCTTGTGAGCCCGAGAGGAGGCGGACTTTCCAGTTTTCTTTAGTGACTTTGTCAGGCAAGGAACATGGCTGTCCCCTTGGGAGGGTCTTTACGGGAGCCGCCATCTTGAGTGAGGGGTCATTTCTACTGCGGAGCCCGCGACCCGCTACTCGATGTTGCCCAGTGGGATTTCCCAGTGGCCTAAGCACGGCCGGTGGCCGCCGCCTCCAGGAGTTAGTCACCGCCGAGACCCTGGAAGGCGGGGCGCTTAGCCTGCTCAGCCCTCTAAGTGGCCCGGCTTCAGGCCGTCTCCCCTGGGGACCCTCTGCCTAGCAGAGACCGGCCCGCCCCCGCCCCACGCCGCACTCCTCCGGGGACGCAGCGACCGCTCTCCCGCGGTAGCCAGAGACCCGGCGCCAGCGCCATTCTGAGCCCACCTGGAGTCTCCCTCTGTTGAAAGCTCCGACCTGGGTCGCAGAAGGGACCGGTCGGCGGCAGGGAAATGCCTGGGGTCTCGGCTGTCACCGAACCTGTGTAGTCGCTGCGGGGGGAGAGGGGGGTCCGTGCGCGAGAGACTTAGGCCAGGAAGCGGAAGTCGCTAGCAGCGAGAGTTTAACCTCTGTGGGCGCCGGGGTTGAGGTGATTCCGAGCCAGGGACCGTGGATCTGTATAGGGAGTCATGGAGTGTGTGTGGGAGAGAGAGGGGGAGAGACCTCAGTAGTGTGGCATCTTGGCTGGCTTTCAAAAACCAGTCATCATTAGCCTTTCTGATTTCCGTATATAAGAATTAAGGCGGCTTGGCGTCTGTGGCTCAAGTGGCTAAGGCGTCGGCCACACACACCTGAGGTGGCTAGTTCGAATCCAGCCTGGGCCTGCCAAAAACAACAATGACGGCTGCAAACAAAAAATAGCCAGGCGTTGTGGCGGGCGCCTGTGGTCCCAGCTACTTGAGAGGCTGAGGCAGGAGACTCGCTTGAGCCCAGGAG